TGAAGGAGTTATGAACCAAATCAAAGATTTAGATTCTAATTCTGATGGGCAGTAAACAACCGGGATGTGCTAGGATAAGTCATATAAATTCTCTAAGTGTTAATTATATGCAAAATGAAACAATAAGACTGGATAACCCTTTTTATTTTTGTTTTTGGCATAGGGCCTTTGCACTGAGCTATAATCCCTATTCCTTTTTTATTTTGAGATAGGGTCTCGCTAAATCTCTCACTCCGCCTCCTGCAGTGCTGGGATTCCAGGTGTGTACCAACAAACCCAGTTTGACTGGGTGATCTTGAAGGTTGTTATCAGGAAATTTTTCAACTCATACCAATTTACACAAATCTGAGAAGCGTATGTTGTTGCTGTCATTGTTTTTTGTTTGTTTGTTTGAAAACAGAGTTTTGCCATGCAGTTCAGGCTGAACTTGAACTTATTATGTAGCCTAGGCTGCTTTGAACTCATAGTGATACTCTTGCCTCAGCCTCCTGAGAGCTGGGGTTATAGGTGTGGGCCATCAAGTGGGGAATGCTGTTGTTGTTATTGTGTTGTTTTGTTCTTTCGGAATTAAGGTTCTCTTTTCCAGAGTCCCAAATGACCATTTTTCTTTGATTCAATTCATCTTTATCTTGTTCACACTCTAATTGATTCTATTCCCATTTACTCCATTATAATCACAATTCAGGTAATCTACTTAAAGTTTTCTGGAAATCTCTGTCCATCTTGTGAGTTCTCTTTTTCTGTGGTAGCTTCGTGCTCAGGAAATTTCTCTTGCATTCTAGCTTGGCAAGTTCAGCACACACAGAGCTCATTTTAGACAAAAGTCCTAGCAGAATGGGTGGGTGTGGTGGTGTAGGCCTGTAATCCCATCACTCAGGAGGCTAAATCAAGAGGATTGCTGTGAGTTTCAGACCAGCCTGGACTACATACAGAGACCCTGCCTAAAAAAAAAAAAATTTAAATCCTAGCAGAAGGCAAGTGGTGCATGCCTATAATCCCAGCATTCAGGAGCCTGAGGTAGAAGGAATTTAGGCCCTATCGCCAAATGGGCAGATAAGCCTAACTACTCAGTCTCTCTAGCCTCTCTTTTCTTTTTATATAAATTTTTTCGGGTTTATTTTTAGACAGGGTCTCACTATGTAGTTGAGACTGACCTGGAACTCACTATGTAACCCAGGATGGTCTCGAAATCACAGTGATTCTCCTGCCTCAGCCTCCCCAGTGCTGGGATTACAAGCATGCGCCACCATGCCCAGCCTTTTTCATATAAAATTGATGAGTGAATCTCTGTTATGTGGGATTAAGTAGGAAAATGTGTAAAAGGTGCTTGACATGTGGGAGGAGCACAGCAAAAATTCAACCAGGGATGCTGCGCTTTTAATGATCCTAAGGAAACATTTCTTCTCAACACAGGTGCTTCCCTTTCACTGTCTTTTGCAAAATGAGAACTACCAATTTTTAGCCTGACACATACAGATTTTGTTTACACATGATAAAATTTTGACAATTCGTTATTGATATTTCTGTTTAAGTTTCTTATTAAAGCAGGATTAATTTGGCTAAAACATTTTTGGTGGGTTGTTCTGGGGGTTGAACCTAGGACATTTAGATCCTTTTTTGGGGAGTACTGGGGATCGAACTCAGGATCTTGCACTTGTGAGGCACCACTGAGTTAAATCCCCAACCTTTAGAGCCTTTGTATTAGTACTGAGTTAGGTCCTCAGCCCTTTTTTGAGATAAGGCCTTACTAAATTGCTAAATTGCCCAAGTTGGTCTTGAACTTGCAATCCTCCTGCTTCAGCCTCTTGGAATTCTGGAATTACAGGTGTACATCATCACATCTGGCTGATTCTTTTGGTTTCATCCCCCTGGCACTAAGCACGTACTCTATCATTAAGACACTCGAAGCCAGGCGTGGTGGTGCACACCTGTAATCCCAGCACTCCAGGAGGCTGAGGCAGGAGGATTGCTGTGGAGTTCGAGACCAGCCTGGGCTACACAGTGAGTTCTAGGTCAGTCTCAACTACATAGTGAGACCCTGTCTCAACAAACAAAAAACAACAAAAAAAAGACACTCCAGCCCCATGAAAATCATTCTAAACTGTCTGAAACAATTTTCTTGCTCAAAGTCCATGTTACTGAATACATTTAATTCATGACCTGCAACCTGTACTGGAAATCGAACTCAGAGCCTTGGGCTTGTGAGCCAGGTGCAGTGCCACTGAGCTAAATCCCCAGCACATTGGTTTGCTTTTTTTTTTTTTTTTTTGGTACTGGGGATCAAAATCCGGCCCTTGTACTTGTGAGGCAGGTGGTGGAACCACTGAGCTAAATCCCTGGCCCTGGTACCGGGGATTGAACTTGGGTCCTTGCACTTGTGAGACAGGTGGTGGAACCACTGAGCTACATCCCTGGCCCTCCTGGTTTGCTTTTTGATAGTAGAGGATCTTAGAACACTTTAGGACTTTGTAGGTCAAAGAGTCAGTGCTAAGAGGAAACCTTCCCATAGCAAAGGCTCTGCAACATTGTATTACACATCTCGGATATCATTTGATTTTGTTCTTGCTGTTATCCTTGTTTTGAGACAGGGTCTCTATGTAGTTCAAGCCAGGCTTGAGCTCACTATGTAGTCCAGGCTGGCCTCAAACTCATGGCAGTCCTCCTGCCCCTACCTCCCAAGTGCTGGGATTACAAGCGTGTACCTCCATACCCAGCAGGACACCATTTGAGCTGGGACAAGTACCTCAAAGCAACCACATTCACAAGGGACTGATGCAATTATTTACATGCATAACAATTTAATTTATAATAAGGATAGTGCTCCAAGAACATAAAATGTCCACATTCCCTATCTAGGAAAGCTCCTCCCCCTGCTGGAAGGTGAAAAATTCCTCAGCAAGTAGCTTGGCAGGCACAGGGTCAGTCTTGCAGACCACTTTACCAGGCCGTGGGAAGGTCTGACAAACATTGCCCTGGTGAGGGATCCCAAAATCTCTAGGTGTCCATTTGTGTCCTGGCCACCTCCAGTGGCTAATCTTACCCTTCCTGTATGCATTTTACTAGGTGACCCACAAAAACAGCCACATTTTCCTAATGGCCAAGTTCTTGGTCATTTCTCAAGGATGCTACCAAGTATCTCCATCTTTGTGTTTTGCACTGCAGCTGCTTGTCTTTCTGCCTCCAACTCAACACATCCTCTCCTTCTCAGTGGATCTTTCCACTGGGGGCCTTCTGCTGTCTGCCTTCCTGCTCTCCAAATCCTCTGACTGTTCCCTCTCCATTCTGCTCTTAGCCTGCTAATCTGCAGATCTGCCACCATCCTCTCCACCTCTCCTGAGTCAGCTTGCTCCTCCTAGTCCCTTGCTCTCACTCTTCCACTGCCTAGACTAGCTATGCCTTCGGTCCTTGGGACTCCTTTCTGTCGGCCTTTATTCCTACTTTCCTTGTCCTCTTTGTTTAGGAATATTCTACCAGTTCTATGACTTAGGAGCCTCTCAGCATTTGTAACAGTCTTTTTTTGTTTTGTTTTGTTTGAGACAGGGTCTCACTATGTAGTTCAGACTAATCTGGAACTCACTATGTAGCCCAGGCTGGTCTCGATCTCACAGTGATCCTCCTGCCTCAGCCTCCAGAGTGCTGGGATTACAGGTGTGCGCCACCACGCCCGGCTTGTAACAGTCTTTTTCAGTATTTCTGCCAATGCTTCTCCTGCTGGCCCTCAATCTTTCTTTGCCTGAATGCAATGAATTCTTTCTATCCAACTCTCAAGCTCTGTATATCTGTCTCTATCATCCTCTTTGTCTTCCTCTCCCTCAGTTTCTTAGCAGTATTTAAAAAAACTCTTCCTGTCACCTGCTTTGGTTCCTGTGTCTTTTCCATGGAGGATTAAGGGTTCTTTTTGTCCATTGTTTAGGAGAATAGCAACTTAACTGCTCTACACTTCCTGTAACCTGGATATTCTGAATGAGAAGGGAGGAGTCTTGTGCAATTAAAAAAAAAAGAAAAGAAAAAAAAATGCATCATAAACAGCCGAAGAGGGAGAAAAGCTTTTGAATGAGTCCCAGAAGAGGGTTAGCTATTCCTTTACCTCTCTGTAGCCAAGGGAGCCTTCTGTCACTTGCTATAACACTATCCTAATTTTTCCATAAACCTGAGGCTAAGAAAGCCCTGCACTGGGGACCTAGATTGGGTGCTTCTCAGTCTCTTCTATGCCTTCAGTGCTGTTTTAAAACAGACTTAGCTGGGCATGGTTGTGCATGCCTGTAATCCCAGCATTTGGGAGGCTGAGGCAGGAAGATCTCTGTGAGTTCAAGACCAGCCTGGGCTACATAGTGAGCTCCAGGTGAACTCACATAGTGAGGCCCTGTCTCAAAAAAACAAAACAAAAAGAAGACAGACCTAGCACCATGACCATTCATCTAAGAATCTATATTTTCTTTGGAAAGGTAAAAAAATATTTAAAAAATTTGGGCCAGGGATTTAGCTCAGTGGTTCTGCCGCCTGCCTTGAAAGCACAAGGTCCCAAGTTTGATTCCCCTGTAACTAAATAAATAAATAAAAATAAAAGGTTGGACACAGTAGGACTAGTATTAAATACACACTCAGTACCTGTAGTGCAGCTTTGGGAACCAGAAACATCAGCAGCAATTGCAATGACCTGTGTTCTTCTGTCACTTGGCAACTGTCATGCCCATCTCTACTGCTCACAGATCCTATCTCTTGTGCCCTCTTCTCTAGTGCCAAATCTGATCATAAATAAGGTCTCTTTCCCCTCTGGTCCTGCCCCCTCCATGCCAGATCTCTCTGATCTTCATTTGTCCCTATGCTGGAGCAAAAGGTTTCTGTTGCCACTGGCAGTTTCTTCAGCTTCATACCTCAAGCTACTCTTTCTTTCTTTTCTTTTTTTTTTTTTTTTTTTTTTTTTTTTTTTTTTTGGAGACAGGGTCTCGCTATGTAGTTGAGACTAACCTGGATACTCACTAGGAACTCACAGTGATCCTCCTGCCTCAGCCTCACAAGCGCTGGGATTACAGGTGTGCTCCGCACACCTGGCCACTCATATTCTTTTTGATGATAGATTTTAGTGAACAGTAATCCAGGTTCCCAGCCAAGCACCAATGTCAGCATATCTTCCTAGATCCTAAGAAGGGGGAAGGAGGAGAGGATCTGAGATACTGATAATCTAGTCCAGCCCATGAGAGACTGTATAGCAAAGGCCACCATCTCCTAGCCCATTTCCATAGGGCTGGCAGAAGAGGAGCCTGCTACTTCTCTCTAGTTTTTCAAGTTCAGAGTGAAATTATCCCTAGTAATGGGCTCATGATCACATGTCCTGGTTTCCCTGGTCTCCTCATGTTCAAGGATGGGTGGGTGGGGCCGAGGCCGAAGGACATCACTGATCAGAATTCGGACTCCTATTCTAATGCTCATGGCACCCACAGTGACCAGCCCAGTTCCACCAAGAATGATCTGAGAAAGAGGTATCCGATGGTGCTTTCGGAGCATCCACAGACTCATCCATCCCAGTGGTACCAGGCGGAAGAGGACCAGAGTGGCCAGGGTGGCATAACTGGTCACACTGAAGGCCAGGGAGGGGATCTGGTGAGAAGTCAGCAGCAGCATCCGCAGATGCAAGCAGATGGAGTTCACCTCCACCAGCAGACACACCATGGAGAAGCCCACATAGTGGCCAGACAGAACAGCAAAGCTGAAGCAGCACACCACCTAGGGACGAAGGTCAAAGTCAGAAGACCTTCCGTGACCCGCACCTATCCTCTACCAATCTCTTAGTCTTTATTCCGGAAGTTCCTAAGAATTTTGTAAGATTACCTTCAAAACCTGAACTTTACATCAACTCTTATTTTGTGTTTTTTTGAAACAGGGTCTCACTATATAATTCAGGCTGGCCTTGAAGTCTCCATGTACCCCCCAAGCTGGCCTGGAACTCTGAATCTTCCTGTCTCAAGTGCTAGGATTACAAGCATGTGTCACCATATTCAATTATTATCTTGGCCCAGGAGTTCTGAACACTGGGCTTCTTCGCTATCCTGGGGCTTTTGCAATCTTCTCTGACAACACTAGGGCTGTATTTCTGCACAGTACTTCCCAACTGCCATTCCTGGGTTTTGTGTTCCATCTCCACATCCTATACCAGGGCTTTTCCTTCTCAGAAAAGCTCTATACTCAATGTTTCTGTGATGAGCTGGACATTTGTGGGGGAGTCAAGTCCCTGCCCAGACTCCCATCTGTGGCCAGCAGTTAACCCCCACCCCCGCTTCAGCCTAAGATTGGAAGGATCAGGCACCAAGAGTCAGCGAATCTGTAGAAAGTCAGAGGATAGAAAACTGAAGTGAGCTGGGTGTGGTGCTACATGCCTATAATCCCAGCACTGGGGAAACTGAGGCAGGAGGATTGCAGGGCTACAGAGTGCGTTCAAGGCCAGCCTGAACTACATATCAGAGACCCTGTCTCAAACAAGTAAACAAACAATACCAACAAACAAATAAACCAAAAAAACTCAAACAAACAAACAAGAAAACTGAAGAGACTGGGACCCCAGGTTGGGCATGCCTCTATTCCTTGGCCTTTCCTTTTGGAATCTCACCACCAGATGATGACAGAGAATGTCCCAAGCCTGGCCCAAGGTTTGGTTCCACAGCAGATCAGCACCGTCAGCCAGGAAATACCCTGTGGACACAGGCGAAGGGGTGTTAGGCTTCCCCAGAGCTGGTGCACAGCCAAGAGAGGCGCTCCAGCCTTTTTTTTCTGAGCTCTCTAGTTTGCCTCAGGAAAATGCAGACACATTTAATCCCCGTGGAAGTAGGGAAAGGAGTCCTTGGAATTCCAGACCTAAGATTGCCCTCATTGAACCAGTTTTCCGTGCAGACTTACCCACAGACACTGCCACCAGGGCCAGGGCCCAAAATGGGTGCCCATGAACTGGGTCTGCGGCCAACTGAGGATACAGCGACACCCTAGGACAGATAGGGGAGTCGGGGTCAGTCTCTGCATAACCCTACCCCACTCACTCTGTGGCTGTGTTCGCCCTCCAGCCCAATCACGCTGGACTCCAATCTCAGACTGAAAGTTCCAAAAGTGCGGGCAGGCCGCGTCTTCCAACCTCAGCCTTCCAAACCTCTCCTCCTCATTGCCTTGCCTCTCCAACCCGCAAGCTCCGCACCCCAGCAGCGCCCCGGCCCCGGTGAGCAGGCTGTGCATCAGAGAGACACAGTGGTTCCGCCACTTCCAGCGGTCCAGAGCGGTCGATCCCGGCGTGGGCAGCAGCTTCATTCCCCAGTGCAGACCCCGGAACGCAGCAAAGGAGAAGCCGGTCGCCAGCAGCCCCATGGGCGCCATGGCCTGGGGGCCAGCTAAATTCCTGATCTGTCTCTTTGGCCCCTAAGCCCTCAGCCACACCCCCAACGGGGCTCGGGCTCTGCTTTCCTGGCAGGACTGGATCCTTGAGTACTCTTGCCCAACCAGTCTTCCGAATCTGCTCTATCTTTCCGGGGCTTGTCCACGCCTCCATCTCTCAGCTGGGCAGTGATTGGAGCAGCAGTGGGGCCCCCGCCCATGGGCCCACGACACCTGAGGGTGTCCCGCCTCAGCTGAGGATAGCTGGGGATAGTTCCTGGGCACCACCAAGCCCTGCAAACCAGGGATCCTTCTGGGATGTCAAAAGGGATTTTCCCCAATGCCACACGTCCCAAACTCTTGTTAGAATTCCAGAGATGGGAATTCCAGAGATGGTCATAGTCTAATCTCACCTGACACTTCTGGTGCCCCACCCCAGTAACTTTCACCTTCTCTCCCTAGTTGCTCATCTCTCACCTACTGGTTAGCTCTCACCTCTTTCCCTCGTAACCCTGAAGGTAGAAGCTGGGTCAATTCACCCCACTGCAAGGCCACCCCACAGCCACTGCAAGGCCTCATCTTTCACTCTTGTGAGTTGTGGGGGCCCCTCACTTCTTAGAGACACCTTTCTGCCTTCCAAGGTTTCCAACCATTGACACATCCCACCAAACCTATAATTCCAGTAGTCCTGCTTCTTTCTATCTCACCTCCCCAAAGCAACAGCAGCTCCCATTTTGAAGAAGCAACCAGCCAGGAGACACCCCTTCCCCCCAACACATGACACCTTAGTAGGAAGGGGAGGAAAAGAGAAGCCACTTACTGCTAGTCTTGAAAAAGCACCCCTCCCTCAGGGCTTTGTACCTGTTGGGTCGGTCAAATATCTCCCCCAATTTGAGGGCAAGAAGTAACACAGGGTCACCTCAAGTTTGGGGCAGAGTCAGAAGAGAAAACAAAAGACAGCAACACAACCGTTAGAATTCTAGAATGTTTCAGCCTTGGAGAGGAAAATCCTCCCCATCCCTCACACCCCAAAGAATGACAGGTTTTTACTGTTTTCCTTCCTTCTTACTCCATTCCACAACTCTTTAGTTGGCTGACAATCAGCAAGTCAAAAAGCTGCTTCCTTTATATTGAAGGTGGATTCTGCCTACTTCTAATGAGGGTCATAGCTCTTTGGTCTTGGTGGCAGAAGCGAGATGAAGTGAATATCATCGTTTGGAAAACATTACATTAAGCAACACACATTGTGACACTATGGCTGTAAGGCCTACTGCCTTCAGAAGTCCACCTATGGCAAATATGGGTATCCTGCCAAGCACAAGATAAAGCAGAACTGGAGTGCAAGGGTAAAACACAAAAATCCCACCAGGACTGGTTGAACGAAGCACCTAAAAATTGTATTGCAGATTCAGGAATGACACCTAAACCCAAGAGAGCAGTGTTACAACATCCAGTTCATTTTGAGAAGTTCAATGGATTATTCACAATAAATGCTTTGGTTTTAAGGGGGGTGGAGGGAGAGAATAAAGTTCATAGGGTGGGGGATGTAGCCCAGTGGTAGAGTATTTGTTTACCATGAGTGAGACCCTGTGTTTGATCCCTACCACCAAACCAAAACAAGAAGTTTTGGTTAGCATCCCAACCAAACATTCTCACCAAGGGCAAAGTGCACTCTTTCCTTCTATACCCACATCCAAAGAATTAAAAAATTACACTGATCTTTTATATTTATTTATTGTATAGGATCAATACACAATCAGTGTAGATTTGGAAATTACAGAAAAACAGAAGCAAGAAGCCACAATTGTTTTATTTCACCATTCAAAGGTAACCAAGTGCCAGGGATTTGGCTCAGTGGTTCTGGG